GTATGGTGTGTGGGCATTTCAATGCCTTAGGTGACCCACATGTTACCTCTTGGAGTGAGTGAGTATGGTTTTACGCCGCTTTTAGCAGTATTCGAGCAATATCACAGCGGGGGACACCGGAAATGGGCTTCACCCATTGTACCCATGTCGGGAATCGAACCCGGGTCTTTGGCGTGATGAGCGAATGCTTTAACCACTAGGCTACCCGACTGCACCGTTACCTCTAGTCTTGGAAGTGCTGATCTGTTCAATATACAAAGAAAGCATACACCCTATGCCTGATTCTCTCCCATGGAATGATTTTTTTTATATGGTCCTGAAGGAGGGAAGGTAGAAAGTGGCGATTCTTATTATGCTCAGTCCAGTCAGTGGGAACCTTCCAAGGACGCATAAGGACAATCTCAGGGTGACACTCCTCCCCAGACACATGTCCTCCTGAATCTTTTGGTGGCAGAACAGCAGGAGAGCATGCAGGCCTTGCTGGAAAAGTGCCTGGACGCAGGATATGACATACGACCAGGATGGTCTCTGTTGGACCATGAGAGGTTACTTCACCATTGAATTAGTTTCATGGACAGTTATTGGCAATCTCATCCACGGGTGAAAGTCTCTCCAACATTGTGATAGAATGTGGAGTGTATCTTCTCATGTAGTCTAGGATTCCCATGGCCGAGTTGGACAGGATGGACATGTGAGCCAGTTTTATCATTGGAAGACAGGGCATAAGCCATTTCTTACATCTTCCATTGGACGTCTCACATTGATGAATACGTATGAGGATTTACATCATGGCATAGAGTAGCAGGAAGAGACTTGTCACCACAGTCGCCACTGCAGATATCATGGTCAGTTTGGTTCCTGTATGTTCATCTGGTGACCCAGTCAGGTTGAGGACAGGAGACTGTGCTGCAGTGCTCACCATGCTGCACATGGAGCATATGCCAACCATCAACAACTCATTCTCAGATCGGGACTCAGGGCGGGAACCCTACAGGTTCAGATCAACACATGTAACCTGTGACCCAAATATCACGGTTACGAGGACAGTTCTACTAACCCACTCTTGGATCCAGAGTAGAAGGAGGTCTGCAATTCATACACTTGCTGTGGTCAACAATGTCATTTTTGTGGCAGACAATTTCAGTCTGAAGCATAATTATTTGATTCAGTAATTTTCTGGGACAATAAAATCCCAGGTCCCCCACCCCTGAACCTGAATATCAAACCGTCGGTCCCAAAACATTGTTGACACAGCAGAAGCCTGTCCTGGAGGTTGGGGCAGTCATAGATTCTGACTCATTAACTAACCATCCGGTTGTTCCAAACCATATCACCCTGGCCTTAACTATATGGACTACCTAGAAATGAAGGCAATTTTCTACTCTGTCTGGAACTCAACTATCTCCCTCCTCAGTCCTCATATCCATGGACAAGAACCGATTCATCTTCCTGTGCGATGAGATCTCCTACATCAACCCAAGTTGGATATATTTCACAACAATCTACTCATACTTCATCTTGCTGCTTTGAAACTATCTCGTACAAAAATGCAAGACGCCTGTTTCTCTAGATCTGTCTCTACAGCCATGACAAGATCGTGAAAACCTTTTTCAGTTTGTTTGAAAGGTGTATGATTTTTTAATGTGAAGCAGAAAGAGGAAAACCATCTTTTGCCATTACTAAATATACTTGAAATTAGCTTCTAAAGCTCTTGCTATGTCTCCTAACAAGCTGAAAAATCTTGTCCATGAATGGGGCTCTAGCAAGCAGGTGGGGAACATATCAAAACCATGTAGGGTTGAGAAATTAAACAGTTTTCAGAAACATCAAGTCAGACATGCAATTGTTATTTGTTTGTTTGTTTGTTTGTTGTTTAATGCTGCACTCAGCACTATTCCAGCTATATGACGGAGGTCTGTAAATAATTGAGTCTAGACCAGTCAATCCAGTGACTGACATCATGAACATTGATCCACACAATTGGGATACGATGAGATGCATGAATTAAGTCAGTGAGCCTGACCATCCGATCCTCTTATGACAAGCACAGTCACCTTTTACGGCAAGCATTGGTTGCTGGAGATCTATTCAACCCTGGATCTTCACAAGTTCGTGCAATTGTTAAACTGCGTTCAGAAAATAACTTTGTGTCACTTAGACTCTTGAAGAAATACCTTGAAACTTAACATGATATAACTGTTACAAAATATATGCTATGGCAACTTTTGCATACATTTAGATATAAATACAAAAACATTAGTGGTGGAAATTGGACTGTGTTATGTGAACGTTCTGACATCCTTCATCTCCAAAATCATTATCTCCAAACCATCAACAAGAAACGTAAAGAAGGATGTGAGCCTGTTTTCCTAGATGAGACATGAGTAAATGCCTCTCACACAGCTAGATGTCACTGCCTATCCAGTGAGGACTAAGGAGTATTTGAGAAAGTTACCAATGGGAAAAGGTGAAATACTCGTCATTCTCCATGCTGGCTGTGCTAGTCAGGGTTTTCTCCCAGGCTGTGAACTCGTCTTTCAAGTCTAGTCCATGGACAACAGGGACTACCACACCAAAATGAATGGCAAGGTATTTCTGGCGTGGGTGAAAAATAAATTGGTCGCTGCTGTGCCTGCCAAGTGCCTTATTATCAGGGACAATGCACCATATCACAGTATGCAGGATCCAGACAGCAAGGCCCCAACGTCACAAAGGAGATATGGTGACATGGCTGCAACGGATGAATATGACCATTCCTTCCAGGGCTACAAAACCACAACCGTCATATCTAACAAACCTGAGCCTGTGTATGTGGTTGGCAATTACATCAAGGTCTCCTTCATAAGGTTGCCACAGTCCTTGTATTGTTTGACTGTCCATATGAAAACCCCAACCAAACTTGGGAAGCATCTGTAACCAGGTCGTGGAGTGGATTGAGTGGCAAAATCCACCAGCAAAGAGTGTGGTTTGGCTGATCTGCTCGATCTGCATGATCAGACACAATAGGCTATCTATCAGACATCACTCTATCTTCAACCGTTGGCTCATGAGATCTTTCCTTCAGGAGGAAATCAAACCCCCGTGCACATTCCCGAAGTGGAACATCCCCATTGTTCTGTCCACTCTCTTGAAGGGTCCTTTTGAGTCTTTGGTACTGCCACTTTGTTTCAAACGACTAGACAACTTTTGTGGATAAGCACCAGTCTACTGTTTGGTGATGACTTGGACATAGACAATACACGATTCCTGCCCTTTACAAGTGTTTTGCATCTCGCTAATGTTCAAGCTCTCCGATTCTACTTAGCTGCAACACAACCACAGTGGAGAAACTGTCTCTTCATTTCATGTAATACAGCTTCAGATAAACACATTACCAAAGCAACAGTCACAGGATAGCTCAGAACTACAATCCCCGACAGTTACTGGCATGCAGTTTAGGCAACTAGGTGTCCTCTGAAGTGTAGGACAGGTCATAGGTTAACATCAAGTGATCACGCTGATGAGTTACGGGAATGATGTTAAGGACACAGGAAGTGAAGGCATAACTGGAAGTCATGGTCCAGAAGGTCACGTAGCCCACTTTCTGGAAATGGACGCATGCGGATATAACTGTAATTCTATGGAAGTTTACCACATATTTGCATATGTCCTTGGCATTATTCCGAAAACGGGCCTTTTGGGTTGATTTTGGCATAATGTGCACCTAACATGGGTCAAAACAAGTAGAATACTTTTTAGAACAATTAGCCACCACAAAATGCTGAATTTAGGGAAAAGAGACCCCATTTTGCAAGGAAACATGGAGTTGGGGTTCATTTTCTATTTGAATTCAGTTGACTGTTAACTATCCAGGGTATTACCAGATAACAGAACCCACTGATCCCTTGGATATATTCTGTCACTGATGTAATAGAGGCTTTGTAAAAATAAGAATGACGAAACAATGGTTGTTGTTAATAATTCAAATATTACCTTCTACACCAGGAGTAATCCCACTCATCTCCCTGATATTTTGTATTTGGGATGCTAATGTTGGGAAGAATTGAAGACGTCCAGTTTCTGCATGCACAGAGGTTTAGGAAGGGAGATACTATAAGAATCTCAACTGGTTATGGATAGTTGCAAGTGAAGAGAACCTCTGTTGAAAAATCTCAAGATTAATGGTATCATGACATCTGAAATACATGATTTCTAGCACCAATGTAATAGGTTGTATTCTTTTCATTATTAACAGTTATGTCAGTTGTTTGATTTGTCTCTTACATTGATTGCCTGCATATTTACTTTCAATTGATTTATTTGGCATCTGCTGACTGCATGACAATGGAGTACAAGTTATTTTTTTCTATTGATTCTGAAAGGTTTGTGAAAATAAACAATGATGATTTGCCAAGCTATTGTCGTTGCATTATTTCCATTAACTACAGTAAATAATGATTTCATTTCACTTGTTTCAGAGCTTAAGTGATCTCTTAGGAAATGTCCATCACAGATGTAAAGGTTATATGTTTATTCATGTATGGGAGGCCATAGACCCATGTACTTTTCAGTTATATACTGAACAACAAAAGTTCCTGTGATATTGAATAAGATTTAATGCAAAGTTATGTTTTTTACCAAATCTGAAACAATTTCGGTTTGCAACAGATAAAAGACTCCTGTAAGTGTTCAAATGGTTTAATTTGCCACACTGACTTCAGAAAATGTGTGATTTCATAAAAAACATGAACATGACAAAATGTCAATTTACAAATCAATAGCGTATGTGTCCACCTCTGGTTGTGATGCAAGCAACACATCTTCGTCTAAAGGAATGGACCAGGCGTCGCACAAAGTCCTGTGGGATATCTGTCCTTAAAACAAAACTACATGAACATTAGTCATTTTAGGAGGTCTCCAATAGTGGACGACATCCTCCATTACTGAGATAATTTACAGATAACCTCCAATAGTTCAACCTCCATTAGTTGAATAATTTACAGTACATTAGTAACGCACAAGCTCTGCGTTTTCAGTCATGCAGGTGGTAGGTTTGTTTCGGGAGAGACAAACTGACAGTCTACATATATTATAAGACAAAGACAACAAAACAAATGATTTCAGAAATATTTATGCTGAACATAAATTCAAAATTTCACAGAAAATGTTGTGCCGTCACCAAGTTTCATTGTGAAATCGCGTCGGTCACTTGTGTAGGGAGCCTGTTCGCCTTTTGATGGGCCAAGCGTCGGTCTTGTCGATGGTTGATTGCCTGGCGGATCAAAGATTGCGGCGTCAATAACAGGGAGACCAGTTACAGAAGCACTGGGACGTCTTGATTTTCTCTGCACGATTGAGTCTACTGTATCCGCCATTTCCTTGGACGTCCTCTGATAAAAGAAAAGCTTATTTTGCTTGATTATATCACATAAACATTTAATTTTGCATTATATCAAAATGCAACTTTTATTTCCTCGTCATCTTAGTTTTAGTAGTACAACGGGGGCTTGTCACGCAAAAAATAGCAGCTCCGAGATATATATAGTATACTGACAGTGGGTGTGACCACTGAATATATAGAAATATAATTTGGGATTCGAACCCCGGGGATGTTGATCCGAAGTCTGGCGATTGCTAAAATGCATTATCGCGTCATCTAACATCCACGGTAATGTTGCAACTACAAGCAGATTAGAAAACGCCATATACCACATATATTGTGGGAAATTGTGGGAAATACACAAAACGTATAGGTAAAGTTTAGACCTTGTAACTTCGAATTGCAATCGATTTATGTCCCGTCTTCTCGGCAATTAGCTGTTCGTCTACTCCGCTGTCGTAAAGCCGAGTTGCTGTTGTAGCTCTGAGGGAGTGATTTGTGTAAAATCCGCTGAACCCAGCGGCCTTACAGAGACGGCTGACAGTTGACCGGAGTGGATGAATCCCAACGGCCGCATCAGCAAACCAAACCTTGCCTGCAGTGTATCGTAACGGGCGCAAATAGAAGGCGTCACACTTTCCATGTACTGGTCTGAAAACAAAGTGAACTGTCATCAATTCATGCAGCTGGCCGTACAAAGTACATAGTGCATAAGAACATGAGAACGTAAGGTAAAGTCATCCAAAATATGTTAATCAGGTGCACATTACGTTACACAGACAGGTAGAACTCGCTGACTGACAGACATATAGAACTCGCAGACACAAACGTCGCATAGGAACTACCTCTTCCTTTTCACAATATTAGTTGTGAACTTGTGAGAGAATTATATTTACCTTAATGACATATACTTTTCGTACAGTCTGACGAGGCATCTTCCAGGGTTTTCCTCATTACTAGAGATGGTCACGTGTTTCCTTTCAACCTTCCTGTGCTTCAGCCCCCCTCTGTTCGTTTTGGAAATGTCCTCAGTATATTTCAATTGTTTGACGCCATTGCTTGACATCAACAACTGTAACTGTGAATTTGAACCACTGCGTAGGTATCTGTGTTCATCTCCTGCCCTAAGAGCAAAGTTCAACCCGATTAAATAGACGAGGGTGTCCAAGAGCTTCTGTGGTGTATCTTCTCCGAGTATACCTGTTTCCCAAAGTACATCTTCCTGCTGTTCAGTGATGACATCCGCTTGTCGTTTTTCAACCCCTATCCCTTTTCGAGCTAGTAATTTCATCTTTGCATCAAGAACGAATCGCATACCGGTGTAACAAGATGACTCAAAGAAATTGACGACAACCCCATTCCTTCTTAAGTAATACTGAAGAGAAGACACAATTTCGTACAGAGTGTTGCCGCGGTACTCTTCACGCTTTTGGTTTCGAACCTCCGACAGAAATAACATCAATGTTCTGTTCAGATCATTTTCGTCTTCAGCTAACGATACTATGCTTTGATTTGCTATTGGAATTTCATTATTACTGCGTTTTTGCCTCTCAACAACCCAATTCTTGAAAATATTCAAAGCCCATCTACTCTTATGTTCAGTGTTCACAGAGTATGCCGAATCGCACAAATGCACCATATCCGTTTCAGAAAGGGGAGTACCGAACCGAAGCTTTTCATTGTCTAGATTGGTTCCCAACTGTGTAACCTGTACGGCTTTCTCAAAACGTTCATTGTCACCTTTTAACGAATCTAGTATTTCGGAATGTAACTGTCTCTTAGACACCCGTGTGCCAATAATTCCTGATTCTTCTATCATCTGACTTGCCAAGTATAGTTCGGTGTCGCAATTATCATCAAAGTTATCCTGACTTGTATTATACGGTTCAGTGTCAGTGTTCTCATCAGAAAATAACCGGCCTAATTCAAAATTCTGACAATAATCTTCTTGAAAGTTATCCATATAAAGCAATGTTTCAAAATGAGAGTTCACAACCACATCAGACTGATTACAAAATGTGTTCTGAGTCACGAACAATTCATCACCACAATCCGACATGTTGTCTCCCATACGGACCAAATTTCCACGACTCGTATGCATGTGGTCCTCCAATTGTTTAGCACGTGCATTGCTCCGTTTCATCGAGTCGATCATAATCATTTAATCGAGGAAGTGATGATACACGTGACCTCCATTAGTATCGCACGATAATTATGTGAGTACATTAGTTTGGTGGACAGTTTTGGAGAGAGTTTTGTTTTAAGTAGGAGAATGTCCTCAAACTCGCTATTAGTTTCGCACGTGAAGCAGGTTGGAGGCCGTTAGGACATTCTCCTTCACATATCTGATGGAGCATGTTTCGAAGTTCCTGGAGTGTCTGTGGAACACGTGGTTGACGTCGAAGGCGCCGATCCATCTCATCCCGCATGTGCTCGATTGGTGAGAGATCAGGGGAGCCAGCTGGCCAGGGGATGACTTTCACGCTGTTTTGTTGAAGAGAACAAGTCGAGCAATATGAGGCCGGGCGTTGTCATGTTGAAAGGTAATGCCCGGGCCATGAAGACGCAAAAACGGTAGAACAGCAGGGCCGATGATCTCGTCGCGGTAGCGCTGTCCATTGAGATTACCCTCTACCACTATCAAACGGGTCCTCTGACTTGCCGTAATCCCACCCCATACCATAACGCTGCCGCCCCCGAACCGATCATCTTCCACAATGATTGACGTAACATTCCACCTCGATGTCGGTACACTCGAATCCGTCCCTCGCTGTGGCTTAGGTGAAAACGAGACTCGTCAGTGAATAGAACTTGTCCCAACTGCATGGCCGTCCAGCGTAGACGCTGGCTGCACCACTGTAGTCGTGCTTGACGGTGGTTTCCTGTCAAAATGGGACGTCTGGCGACAATCCCTGCACATCCGAGGCGACGACGTACGGTTTGTGAAGATATTCGTTGAAGGCCAGGGATGCTCCTTGCAGTCACCGTTGCTCTTGTCTTGTAGATTATTGGTTACACGTTGCCTGTCACTCCGAGGATGGTCTCTGACTGCATTCGTCTGTTGCCAACGTTGCCTTATAAACCTTCTGGCTGTTTGTGTAACTCGATATGGAGTTTTTGAAATTGTGGTAACACCTCGCAGGAGGTATTACAACGATTGTAACACCTCGCAGGTGGGCTTATAATCATTTCTTCCGTTCAGATTGTAACATGTAATATCTTTCATATCTGTAGCCCAGTAACTGTACCACAAGGCTACAGAGGTGTTGATAAGCAGCTCTGACTTTTAGAATGTCCTTTTCAAGATCCGTACGCCAGCAACAGGCTGTACAATGAATGAGCGTCAGTCAAAGCAAAACGTGTAATAGTCTCAGCCTACGAGACGCACGTGCAGATTTCGTGACATTGCGGGACGCACGTGCAGATTTCGCACCGTTGCCAAACCCACGTGCTGAGGTCACCGGTTTCATTGAACCGAGTTCACGACTGCAGGCGATATTTCATCTCCGATACAGGTTATACATTTTAGAGTTTTTATTACAGTTATTTCATTAAAAACGTTGTCTATGCGATGAGTGGGTTTATAAGTTGGACAAACCATGTCTCCTCGAGATTACTAGAGATTGTAAACCCTCACATTCGGGAACGTCCCTCATGTGAGGGTTTACAATCTCTAGTAATCCATCGGAGACATGGTTTCTCATACACATAAACACCAAATGGTGTTTCTGTGGACTTAACGTGAAATTGTCTTGCAACATCACGCTGACTCGATCCTGCTTCAAGCATACCAACATTTTCGGACAGGCGTGGCATTTCGTAATGTTGAATAATTAAGTAATTTCGTTGTTTTTCTGAGTGGTTGTTGTCAGCACGATGCTAAACAATGCATATGGAATGCATGGGGATTGCTTAAAAGTCAACTTTTGCATGGAATGCATGCTTTTCTGTAGCAGCTGCGTTTTTGTGACTTGATTCCATACATGTACTACAATATTGAAAACCAAACTTTACTTGTTTGAAAAATACACTAAAATATTGGTGTCACAGGAACTGTTGTTGTTGAGTATATTAATACATGGATTGTTATATATCCTTACAGGAATATACTTTTGTCTTAATGATGCGTAAAACGGGCAGACAAACACAAAATGGACTTCATCCTCAATACAACCATTGTTACATAGCCGACAAAAGCGTGGTGAATAAACAATATCCTCTCTCCTGCCCAGATTACTCGTATATGCAATTCACTAAATATCTATAGGAACAGCATACGTCTATGGTCTCAATTTCTGAAAGCTGTAACATAATATTCCATATCCAATAATATCTTGACGTGTTAATAATACCTTAATATACCAGATTCATAAATTTTCATCTGGATACTCTGTTACAATCCAATAAACGCTGTCTAAACAGCTGCAAGAAACAATTAACATCACCAATATTCTGTTCGTGCCACACATAACCAAATCCATAAATCTCTAGTAAATATTTAACATGAGTTGCCCAAATAATTCTACCACATTCTTTCAGCTTCTTCATTAACAAATAACACTGACGGGGATATCTTTCATTCATTCAAATAAGTTTACACCAGTATGTCACACACTTCATATGATATCCACATGCAGACCATATCTTCCACATTCAGCCAATATTGCTGTGCTTGATACATATTTATTACTCCTAAAACAAATTTACAAAAATTAGTATGAAAAGTTCCGACAATTTGTCTAGCTTTGCAACCCCAGATCTCCGCACCATAAAGAAGACTGGGCTCTATCTTAATATCAAACAATTTAAATAAAATATTAACTGGCTTATTTACAAAAGGATACTGCAGTTGTTCAGTGACAAACAAAGCCTTATTGGCTTTAATCTTGAGGTATCAATGCATTTTTTCCAAGACAATCTGTTTGAGTGAGTGAGTGAGTATGGTTTTACGCCGCTTTTAGCAATATTCCAGCAATATCACGGCGGGGGACACCAGAATGGGCTACACACATTGTACCCATGTCGGGAATCGAACCCGGGTCATCGACGTGACAAGCGAACGCTTTAACCACTAGGCTACCCGACCGCCCCACAATCTGTTTGAAAACAGAACACCCAGATAATTGTAGTAAGTACTAACATTGATACGCTTATCATTCAGAAACCATCGTTCATCATACCTTAAAGTACCAACTCTTCTGAAAACCAAAATTTCGGTTTTAGACATGTTAATTCAATTCCCCACATTTTACAAAGATTGGATAAAATATCAGTTTTTTCTTTGCAGACCTATTACTGTGTCATCGAATATACACACATCATCTGCATATGGTAAAAGTAATATGTCTATAAAGTCCTCTCCAATAAGAATCCCTCGCAAATCACTACTTTCTATCATACACTGTAATTCAAGGATAAACATGAATAGAAACGGACTCAACACGCAGCACTGTCGAACGCCACTCAGTGATTCGAAATAATCTGAAAGAGAGATATTTGATGTCCTGACAGCACACTGAATCTTAGGGTACAGATCCATCAAAACCACCAATAAACGACTGTGTATTCCATTTTTCATTATTGAATACCACAGGAGCTTTCGGTTAATCGAATCGAACGCTTTTCGGAAATCAACAAACAATAAAAACTTCCCCGACATTTACAGAGATATTTTTGTGCTAAACACTCTGATGTAAAATATAATGAACTGCGAAAAAAAGTCACCCCAAGGAACATTGCATGAAAAGTTGTCATTTAAATATCTGGGTTACTTTTGTCCACAATCCACCCAGATCGGATAACACTCATTCGTTATTGAATTGCTACCACATGTCAAGATTGACAAGAAATCAGCGACACCAAGCTCTTTGACGATTGCAAGCTGGACAAACCTCCCGGCAAGTAGCCAATGCATTTCAAGTCCTCGCAAAGAACATTAACAGGCTCCAGCAACGGTACTAGACCACCAACACTACACATGACCAACCACGTAGTGGAAGACCAAGGGTCACCGTCCGACGCCAGGATCGTCAGATTGTGCGACAGCATCTTCAAGATCACTTTGATACTGCTGTGGAAACTGCCCGACAGACCACGGGGCACACCAGCGACACATTAGTGCGGACACCGTGCGTCGACGATTGACAGGCAGACACCACTGTCACAGGCCACACCGAGGACCCATTCTGACACCACGTCATCGTCGGGACCGTCTTCAGTAGGCAACACAGCACCAGCATTGGCGCCACCAGCAGTGGAGAAGAGTCCTCTTCTCAGATGAAAGCCGTTTCTGTATCT